AGGAGGGGGGGGGGGGGGGGGGGTAAGAGAGAGGAAGGGATGCTAGGGATTGGAAGGAGAAGAGCATAGAGGAGATTGGAAAGGAGAATATAAGAGTGAGGATATGAGAAAAGAGTGAAAAAAAGTGGGAGAGATGATAAAAAGTTAGGAACGTGGAGGACGAGAGAACGGAGAAAATGATAGAAAGGATGAGGGAGGAGATGGTGGGAAGAGAGAGCTTTCTACAAACATCAAAATAGGGAATTGAGGTATTAATCCGAAAAATATGAGAGACTTGAGGGGTTTATATGAAAAAAATCAGTTATTTTTTTACTAAAAAATTACATCAGGCAACGGATAGGCCTACTTATCGCCGTATTTATAAGTTTTTAGGGTAGAGTATCATCGACATTAGTTTTTAGGCTAGAGCGGTAAACCAGTATTGGTTTTTAAGGTCAATATGGTACTTTAGTCATATACGTAGTTACGTATTCGTAGCCCACTGGATATGGCCACAAATATCACCCCAGATTTCGACCATTAAAGCCGTATCCTAAATTATTGGACCTAGACCATTAAAAATAATCTGCAATAGTCTCTACTGGGATCATGACAACTATGGTGAGGTCTATTGGGCCGGAGACCCCCCAATAACAGACATTAGTCCGCAGCCTACCAGTCCAACAAAAATGCATGATATTGCTTTTTTTTTTTTAATTTCGAAAAGAAATGCATGCCATACCTTGAGTAAAATCTTATATTTGCCTTGCATTGTCTTTATTCCATTCCCATCAAATATTTTGTCTTGCATTGTCTTATTCCGATCCAATCAAATTTACCTAAGGGCGATGATGATTTATGAACATTTGGCATCATTTCCCTCGTGCAAAAAACAATAAAAATAGAGATAATTTTTTTTCATATATACATCTAAAAACATATAAATTTATTTACATTTTAAATCTGAAAGCTATCCCAAAACTATTAATAAAATACTCATGTGAAATCAATAAGCTTCTATACAGTATTCATATTTTTGCAAGACATAAATTTTGGATCCATGAATTGCCAATAATCACAACGAAGCGGTCTTTCTTATTTACCCAAAGAGAATTGAGATCAAACGCTTAAAAATCTAAAACTATTTGATATTTATTCAATCCATGTCTCAACTAAACTATACAACAAACAATAAATCCCAATTTAAATTATAAAATAAAAAGATTAAATCTTTTTATCATATTTTTCTCTTCACATCAAATTACAACATGCGAATAAAAAAAAGGAAAAAAGAAAAAGAAAAAACCAAGTTCAATATAAAATATTGACCCCACATGTCAGCATCAAGGGATCAGCTTGGGGCCCAATAATTGTCATATTCGACTCTGAGACTATACCTAATCTTATAGTTTCAAGTCATGATGCTCTTGTATCTCTCTAAAACTTGATTCATTAATTAGAACCCAAATCAAAATCAATCAATGACACGTGCATGTGACGTGCATGAGATCAGCACCTCCCCTCTCTTGGTTTTTTCTGCTGCCTTCAGCTCTAAACACAAATCTAATTTGACTCTAATCCTTCCCAAGGGCAAAATCGTCTTATCAACTTTCCCTCCAAAAACGAACGCCCTAGCGACGCTCTAAAACTCAAATCCCGCTCGTCCAAATTCAACACACACAAATTGACACCCATCCCTCTCGCGGTCCCCACCATGCTTGTCCTGTGGGCAAAGAATAAATTGCATTCCTTTTGGAAAAAGCCGCCTTTATTTTTTCAGATTTTCGATTTTCGATTTTCGTGGCCGACAAAACTTCAATTACGGTAACTTTTCTTTTTGGGTGTTCAAAATAGTCCCTCAAATTTCTAAATCCTTGCAATTGGTCCTTCAAATTGTTTTACTTCTCACGAATTGCTCCAAATCCCTTGAAATATTATAATTGTTGTTGCGTTAAAATTGCTACACTTCTCGTGAATTGTTTCGAATACCTTGAAATATTAAAATTACTATTGGATCCCCAATTTTATACTTTGTTTCAAATTGCGTTAGAGTTCATTTAACCATATTAGTTATATGTGTGACTTGATGTAGGTTTATAAAGGATTTGGATTCCCTCCCTCTACAAGCTAACATTTAGGGATGAGTTATCTGGTATCATTTATAAATTGTATCAGTGCAATGTTGCAATTGAGCGAAAATAAAACTGATGTTACGATCAGAAGCATGACGATGCGCTAGGGTCTTATTTAGTTTCCCATCCGTTATACGAGTTGCTTAATTTGGTTTCTCTCACTCTATAAGCTCACTTTGAAGGGGCCTAATAGTAAGAAATATTTCGATAATACCCTTCTTATTTATTTTTTCAGCGCGAGGAGACTGTGTGCCACGTTAGCCCTAAGGATTGTGTTAAGGGCACGTGTGCCCGTACCCCGAGCGAGACCATGCACGTGCGGGCTCCGACGTGGGTGCAAATCTCGCCCCCTCTCTTTTCTCATTTGCTGTTGACCGAAACAAGAAGAATCCCGACACGGAACTTCCTTTACTTCCCAAAATACCCCTCCTGCTCTACGTGAATTCCTTAAATACCTCTACCGGGTCAACAATCACAGCCGTTAGTAACGGTGCTCTCCCAGATGCCCCTACGTGTCCGTCAATAATAAGGGCCGTCAATTTTATTATTTCCAAAATGCCCCTGCTTCCCAATATACGCCTTCCCAAAATACACCTCTAGATCAGATTGAGAATCCTAGTGGAAATTATATTCCGAAAACGTCCCTTGACCTTAGTTGAATCTAGACCGTTCATTCAGCGATCCAGCGGTAGGGAGAGAGAGTATAAGGCGTCAAAAGCGGAAACCCTAACTTCGCGTAATGAAAGAGGGAAGCGAATCTATTGGCGCGCGCAATTGGGGGTTGTCAGGGAATGGCAAGAATCATAATTAATTCTAACTTTAGGGGCGGGTCAGTAGTATTTTGTTGGAGTCCGTATCAAGCCAGAAGGGGCGCATTTAAAACTATATTTTATTTTGTGGGGATATTTATTTAAAGTTAAATAAATAATAAATAAATTAATTGCGCGGACGTGAGGGGAGATTAATTTTCGGTTCGGAGCGCATTCAAGTCCGGGCTGGGTTCTTTTCTTCTCTCTCTCCTTTATCGCTTCACGTTCTCTCGTCCTCTTTCTTCCAAAGCTCAAGATAACGCCTGACGCAAAGGGAGGCAAACTGCGGCGACCTCTTCTCCGTTTAATTTAACGGCGGCAACGTCGGCGGCTTCCTGGTGCGTTAAAATCCGGCGGTTTCAACGGTTTTCCCTAGTTTTCTTGCTTATTTGACTAATTTTAGCGCTCTAATGTTCTTTTAGATCGGAATCCTAGGGTCTCAGCCTTGGAATCGGTGGAGATTTGGATTATTATTTGGTTTGGGATCACAGGGGCAATCGATGCCCCTTTGTTGCTACTTAATTTCATGCCGCCTGAACCTCTGCCCTGGGATCGCAAAGATTTCGTATTCAAAGACCGAAAACACGATAGAATCGCCTCCAACGATGCCCTAAGTGGCGGTAACTCTACCTCGCGGTGGCGGGACCCCTATCACTTTCCCCGTGCTTCCCCTCGCCGTCCTCCGCCGAGTAAGACCCCTGAACTTTCCAGATCTGTGGTTTTTTGGAGTATTTCTTGGGTTTCTTGAGATTTAACGATGTTTATTGATTTTTTTAGGTTATCATCGGCAAAACGGGAGTTATTACCAGCTGTATGATGAATCTAACGGCCACGGATGCACGCCGTCAAGGTCTGACGACGGTTACAGGTCGTCTAACGGCAGGTATAACGGAGGACGGAGTAGCAGTAGGGAGAGCCGTGGATCTTTCCGTCGATCTCCGTATTTTGATGGTTACGAGCCTAGTCACGTGACTTCGCAGAGGTCAGTCGCCGTTCCCATCACCTCCCCTCCCCCTCTTCAATCGAGAGATCTTCACGGTGGTGGTGATGATCAGAGATCAGATCGGGATCGAGATCGGGACCGGTATCGGGATAAGGACAACTCTTTAGGGTCCATTGATTGGAAACCTCTGAAGTGGAGCCGTCAAAGTTCAATCTCATCTTCCAAGTCTATCAGATCGGACGTTGAAGAGGCTGTAAATGGATCTTTAGAGGTTTCGGTGCCAAATTTGGGCAAAGAAACGCCGGTGAGGTCTCCAGTGAGCTCGCCAGCGCCTTTGGAGGACGGCGTGCCAAAAAAGAAGCCGAGGCTTACATGGGGCCAGGGATTAGCGAAATATGAGAAGCAGAAGGTTGAGGGATCTTCAAATAGTGGGAAGGATCAAGTTAGCGAATCTAGCCTGAGGGTTATGGGGATTGCTGGATCCACGTCCCCAGCGACTCCTTGCTCTGCTGCTTGCCCTTCTCCTGGTAAGTAAAGTTCACCATTTCCTTCTTTTAGTTTCAACGATTTGTTTGCTATGAGCACATTTTAGCGGGGATTTTGTTTGGATAGATATTTGCACCCCAACACGCTTAATTTTTTAGGTGATTCAATACTAAGGACTAACTTCGTGAACTTCTCTTGAATCTATCAGTTGATTTGTAAATTTTTGCGTACTATTTTCTTTATGGATCTCTGTGGTTGATGAACAATGTAAATTTTACTGCTCGGGAAATCTAGAGTGCGAAGTTCAACTCGGGAAGTTGGAGGCCTTGACTTTCCCAATTTTCAAAATTATCCTTGATTACTATGTCCCCGTCATGTGGGAAAATTTGATGGTGTGCCCGATCTGTGGAATAATTTTTCATTCTTTTCTCCAAGAATCTCGTGCAAGAAGATTTGAAGAAGGCTAGACTTAGCCACATATGTTCTTGTTGCTTGATTCGTTTTTTTGTTCTTTGCTGAATCTTTTTGTTGCTTGCTTTTTATTTTCATCTTCGACCATAGACAAGTTTATCTTTTCTCATCTCTTAGGCCCTGTTTCGTGATTAGGATACTTTATCAAAGGACATTTTCTCCTTTTCATTGTTTTTTCTAAGTCCAGAAGCAGGTGTTTATATCTTTTTAGTTATTACTTCCATCCAGGCGGAAAATGGTAGGCTGGGGAATCTGTGGATATGGCATTTGTAATAAGATGCACTTCGGAATATTCAGTCATTAAACAAGTTAATTGTTAAATGTAGCTAATTATTTTACCTTAAGATTCTATTTTGGTAAGTTCATCAGCTCTTCTTCTTTTACCTGTGGCCTGGTGAGTCTGAAGCTTCATGTATATTTTAGAGTCAAAACAATATCACCTTTAAGCTGTTAGATTCCCTTCCTAGATTTTGTATGAAAGCCACATTTGGATGCAACTTCTTCACAAGCCAAGTATCTGATATTGTACTTCATGGTACCTGATTCTCCAGTGTATTAGATTGTCTGCACTTGTACTTTCCCCATGGCGTTTCGCTATAGTTGTCTTCTTGAAACTTACTGCAACGTGTCTATTTACTACAATGATGTTTTTGTTTTTTAGACAACTTTTATCATGATACGAAGCTCTCTAAGGGTCACTGGCAGATGCCTACGGAATTGATGCAAGGGTATTGTGTGAACTATTTAACACAAGCATTATAGAACATAACCGAGCAATTTTAATATAGAATAGTAATCATGGGATAAGGAGGCTTTCACTATGTCTTTGTGTGCTCAATTTTGATCTTTGTGAACAATAGAGGAACATGTAGTACATTAACATTGCCTGCTGTTTCTGTGTTTTTAAGTTTGAAATATACACATGATATGGGGCCATGTGGGTGCATGCTTGAAGAAAACGAGACATTTGTAATCCCGTAGATTGAGTTTCTGATGAGTGATAGCCAATTCAATACAATGAATGTTAGCTGAATTAAGGTTCCAAATCCTTCTGTAAATAATAAGCACTCATTGTTTTAATTTGTAGAATTGAACCTGATCTGTATATCCATTTAGATTATCAACCCGTTCTGCCACAGTGGGTTCTGATGGCGGTAATGTAGGAGGATGGCAACAGTAGGAGGATGCTTCTACATTAGCCCTGTCAGGCACAATTCATTTAGATTATTACCCCTTAAATAGCGAATGCTGATCGCGTGGACAACATGATTCTTTTTTCGTTACTCGTTTAATGTATAATTCATGTAGACCTCATCCCTCCTTTTATCAGCGGATTCTGGTCACAGTAACAGCAGTATGCAACCTGGAGTGCTTCTGTAGGTGTGATTCATTGCGAGAATTACCCTTTCTCAATGGGTATGCTGGCAGCATCCCTCCTAGACATTGAAGGAGGTGGCTGAATGTGGAAAATAAAGACAAGCTGAGATGGGTTGATTTCCTTAGTCCTCATTCTTATTCCAAACACTCATTCCTGCATCTGCGGCAGCAGGCCTTCTGTGCAATGCTGCTAGGACTTTGACTAACTCCATAGAATTTTTTTAGGGCAATGAACAATATGTGTTCATGCAAATATATATTCAAACTAAGCAATTTATTAATTTGCTTTTTTGGTAGTTATGATTGTTGGTAGCTAGCCTAGCATGTAGAGATTTTGTAATCCTTGGCGATATCTCAGTCACCCAAGCAACTTTTTACCAAATAGTTGGAAGTACTACCTTGTTCAAGGAGCGTTTTAAAAAGGTGAAAACCATATCTTTTCAACTTCCTTTTTTTTTCATCATTTTTGAAAATGATAAACTATTCATATTTTGCCCTTGAATAATCATTTGGATGTAAATCAGTATTACTAAGAAACTTCAGATTTTTGTTTTGGTTTTTTTGATGTGTTGGACTGTCAGCACTTGGAGACCTAGGTCGCTTATTGGATTTCTATATGCAAGATGATAAAAAGACTCTTAGACAAAAGAGACTCTTAGACTATGTTACCCGGGTACTTTTATCATGAAGTCGTACCTGTACCGGACACATACTCGGCACTTACCCGTTACCCAAACTTCATGGACACTCCTTGGATATAAGCATACAATTTTGAGACATGTAACTCAATTATATGATAAACTTTTAATTTAAAAAACTTGTCATATACTTGTTGGATGCATATCCCGCACTTTACATCCATGTCTTAAACCTGCTAGACATGGGTCCGGTTCGTTTCAGTGCATACCCAAGTTCAAAACTATGAATTTAAAGGGTCTTTTGGGTGTCTAGTTAACAAACAACCAGTTTTCAATTTGTAATAATCAAAATAATATAAAAGATTAAAAAATGAGACATGAATTTTAATTCTAATAACACATGGATTGAAAAACAATAATGTTCTGGTGGAAATTATTAATTTCAATGTGTGTAGACGTATCGCTGGACCCTACATTTTACAAATTTGCCATGTCTTGTACCGGCACCTGTACCAACACCGGTATCCATGCAACTTTGCTCTTGATGAAGTATAACTTAAATCATTTGAATTTCATGACCACTTTTGCTAAATATTTTTTTCCCTTGCAATTGGGCAATTGAACGAAAATGCAGCTGTGTCCCCTTATGAGATTTTTGGAAGATTCCTTGCACGTTTAGTTTAGGACACTTGAAGAGAACTCCTATGTTCTGTTTCAATATACCCTTACAGCAATGCTTAACGTGTTTGTTATTTCAACTACTTATCTCTGTTTACTTGGATAGATTTTTCCTGATAGTGCCTTGTTTGGAAGGCATCATATGCAAAGATTACTTCTCCCGAAGCTAAAGACTGTTTAAGTATGATTGATATTGTCAGTGTTAGTATTGTATTGCACTATTATCGCTATTAATTTGTCTGAAATAGCAAGAAGTGTTAAGAGTGATCTTGTGTTAGTTTTGGCCTCATATCGCACTGTTTTCCAACATTCTTTTGTATGCCATGGGAAATTCCTACTTATCTATCTTGTATGTTTTTTCCTTTTTAAATTTTGTTATAAGCAACTGTGAACTATGCTATTTGATCATTTATAGTGCGTGTATAGTCTAATGTCATAAAGTTGCTTATGTTCTCAATACGTAAGTCAAGTGGAACATTGCTATTTGAGTTTTTCCTTGCAGTTGAATGCCATATTTTGTAATCACAACTGTTGATAGGATATTTTCTCATTCATTTTGTAATTAGTCTGAATTGGTGAAATGTTATCTTGTGTTAGTGTTGGTCTCGTATCACACTGTTCTCCATCATTCTTTTTTATAACCTGGATAATTCCAATTCAACGCTCATTTATATTTGTATTTGTAATTTTTTTATATTGTATGCAATTTTTTTTCTTTTTTGTTATATGCACCTGTAAACTTCATAATCCTTTTATAGTGGGGGCATGTCATGAGGTTGCTTATGTACTCAATTCTTAATTCAACTGAGATAATGCTATTTGTAATCTTAATGGCTGATAGGTTATTCAGTCTGTATATGAATCTACTTGACAAGAAGATTGTTCATTAGTCGCTAATTTTTTGATTTACTGTACTCAACCTGTAAACTTCATAATCCGTTTATAGTGGGGGCATGTCATGAGGTTGCTTATGTACGCAATTCTTAATCAACTGAGATAATGCTAATTGTAATCATGAATGCTGATAGGTTATTCAGTCTGTATATGAATCTATTGGACAAGAGGATTGTTCAGTAGTCGCTTATTTTTTGCATTTACTGTACTCAATTATGCACTTCCTTCTGTGTTATCTTGATGATGTTTAATTATCTAATCAGGCATTTTCACTGATGTCATAATTTGTCTTTTATTTATTGGAGCAGGTACTGAGAATATGCCTTTTAGTAAGGTAACAAACATTGATAATGATACAGACAATCACAGTCAAACATCTGTGGTGGGTCTTCAAAATCACTGGGAAGAACTTCTTACCAAGTTAGATGAGTTGCCTCCTATATCTACATTAGCTTCATTACTTAATGATATGTTGCAACCTGAAGATGCTTGCACTGGTGATTCCTCTTCCAATAGAAATAATTGTGCAAATAAATTACCATTATTTAAAGCCGACATCTCCAAGGAATTGGAAAGAACTGAATGTGAAATTGACTCGTTGGAGAATGAACTGAAGTCCTTTGACAGGATGGAAAGAGTGATCCTGCCCGTCAAAATTACATTAGCAATAAAAGTTGACAGTTCGTCATTGCCTTGTCAGCAGTCAGATGATGGTTCAGTACAAGTTTCATCAAACTCAACTCCAGTAAATCCTTCTGAAACAGCAGCGGTTGAGGAAGTACTTCTGCCAATATGTTCCTCCGGTGAACCTGAAATTGAAGCGAAGTGGTCACACAAAGATATCCTGCGGACAGCTTCTCATAATAATAGTGAATCGACATCTTCAGGCGATGGGGGAGGAATGTCCCTTGATTTTGAGGAAAGGACAGTGAAAGAGAACAGCTCTGAACATTTCAGTCATTTAGACGCAGCCAGTAGCAATGCTAATCTTGACTTGAATGTTGGTTCAAATGAAAAGGTGGAGAATAATTTAGTAGCTTTAATTATGGCTTCTAATAGGGAAGCTGCAAAAAAGTGTTCCCATGTTTTTGATGCTGCCTTGTGTATGGCTTGGCAACAATCTGACATTTGGGGACCGGATAGAATGTTGTCCTTCAGGAAGAATGCCATGCAAGTTAGAGAAAAACTTGCTTTGCGCAAACATCAAATTAAATTCAAGGAGCGAATTCTTACTCTTAAATTCAGGGCATTCCACCACTTGTGGAAAGAGGATCTTCGACTTCTCTCTGTGAGAAAGCAACGGCCAAAATCACAGAAGCGCTTTGAATTATGCAGCCGTTCAGCACAGAGCAGCTCACAAAAACACCGTTCTTCTATCCGCTCCCGATTCACATTGCCTGGTTAGTGTTTTTTTTGCTGCAAAAGTTTTTTTATTTTTTATTTACTTATTGGTATATTTATAATCAACAACTGCTACATAATTCCTTTAGGTCTTTCTATAAATGGCATTATGTTGTTGTCATAGCATATGCAAATTTTGACTGCCCTACTCATTGATAAGTAGGTTTGTTGTTTCTTTTTGTTCATGTTTGATTTTATTGTGTGTTGTATGCTGTTTTTGCAATTTCTCATTGTAGGATTTTACTCTTTGGTCGATTCTTACGTGTGTTCAAGAGTCGTCATGTTCATCCTAATTACTGCTGGATCAATACTCCCTGATTACAAAATTATTTTTTTCTTATGTTATTGTAGTTTCTGGTCCCATTTAATCTTTTTTTTATAAATAGTATGATCTGTTCTTCACTTAATTCCCTTCTGGACAAAGTCATGCATGATCATTACACTTTAGATTCTTTCAGAGTGCGGCCTTCGCTGTTAATTTCTTTTAAGGGCCTATCATTACATTTGAAAGATTATCGAGTAATCTATCTCAATAATTTTATTTGTGGAAAATAAATCCAGGAATGTCACGATGAACTTTAGTATGCTAGGAAGAGGATTATGTGGTATCTGTTGTAATTATCCTGCTTTTGTTTACACCAGTAACCTCTCTGTTTCAGTTAGTTCTCTTTTTGGTGCTTATTTGCGCACTGGGTGCAAATTTTTTTATACATTTACCTATTGCACGTACATGGGGAACATAAAGATGCATCTACTACAAAGAATGGTGTGCTTTGAATCTATATTACAATCATATGTGCTGCTAATATTTTTTTTGGATACCTTTAGCCTTTATTTATAACATTGGTTATATTTTAATGTTTTTATTAATTAAGTTTGGATGTTCGAGATAAGTTGAAGCAACCCTGCTAGCTGATTACTGTTTTCGCTTATGTTCATTTTATGTAAGCTTATGAAATTGAAAGCTAACAGGAGTATTATACACTTTTGGTTTTGTATCTGCCCTTTTATCATTCCATATTTATCATTCACCCAGCTGACCGTATCTTGTATTGTCTCTGAATCATTTATGGCACTGCAGCAGGTAATTTGACTCTTGTTCCTACAGCGGACATTGTGGATTTTACCAGCAGGCTGTTGTCTGATTCCCTTGCTAAGCTTCACAGGCAAAACTTGAAGATGCCAGCTCTGATATTGGATGAGAAGGAGAGGAGTTTCTCTAGGTTCATTACGAAGAATAACCTGATAGAAGACCCACTTTCTTTTGAGAAGCAAAGATTGATGATAAATCCATGGACACAAGAGGAGAAAGGAGTTTTCATGGATATGCTTGCCACATACGGCAAAGATTTTGCCAAAATTTCTTCTTTCCTAACCCATAAAACAACTGCGGACTGCATTGAATTCTACTACAAGAATCATAAGTCAGAAAGTTTCAGAGAGGTGAAGAAACAGTTGAATCTGCGAAAGCAGCGACAATGCTTATCCACCAACATGTACATGGTAACATCAGGGAAAAAGTGGAATCGTGAGTCTAATGCTGCGTCTCTTGATATGCTAGGAACAGTATCAGTGGCCGTTGCACACAACAGCAGCAGTGGAAGGAGTCAACAGAAGTACACAGGAAGGTCTGTTATTCCTAGTTATCATGGGTCAAAAGTGTCTCGTGGGACCTACCATCACCACTCTTTTGAAAGGCCTGGCAAAGCTGAAATATCGAGACACGAAAAGGAAATAGCAGGTATAGATGTTCTAGCTGGGTATGGTTCTCTTTCTTCAGAGGCAGTGAGCTCTTGTGTTACTAGTTCAGTTTCACCTCCAGAAAAGATGAGCAGTGTTATAATGGACATGCCTGTAACACCAGAATTTACCCAAGCGATTGAAGAGGAAGACACTTGCTCAGATGAAGGCTGTGCTGGAGACTCCTTGGATTGGATTGATGAGGAAAAGTCCATATTCATCAGAGCTTTGAGCTCGTATGGTAAGGATTTTGCAAAGATCTCACAGTGTGTTGGAACCAAGTCAAGGGATCAGTGTAGGATTTTCTTCAGCAAAGCTCGAAAGTGTCTCAGCTTAGATCAGATCCATCCAGGGTCCGGAAATGGGGGCACGCCTGTCAGTGATGCGAATGGAAGGAGTGATACAGATGATGCTTGTGCTGCAGAATTGGACTCTGCAATTTGCAGTACACAGTCCTGTTCCAGAATGGATCCGGACTTTATGCAGTCTGTGACAAATACTGGCGTTGAAGGGATTATTCATGATGGTAATATTTCCTCGAAAGCTGAAACTGACAGGTCATGTAAGTATGGGGCAGGAGGATTTAATCAGGAGGAAGCTGATGGCAAGGTTGACAGACTAGAGTCTGTTCCTAGAGTTGAGGAGGTGGAAATCGAAATAAAAAATCTTCAATCAAAAGTTATGGAAGGGATTGGCGATGCTGTAGTGAAACACGGTGAGCTTGTACCTTCTCATGATGATGCAGAATCTGGTAGAGGTGTGGGCAAAGTCGAAAATGACACTTCTTCGTCATTCTCGGAAGATGAGAAAATGAAGATTCAGACTACTGATGAGGTCCAGCAGGGAGTTATTTCGAAGTTGAAAAGTGAAGTTGAGTTGCAGCAAGTCCCAATGATGTCTGAGACTGTTTCAGGGGAGAGGCAGGAAAAGAAGGTTGACACTTATAATAGCAGTAGTGTGAACTTTTCTTTTTCTGTGGAGTCCACTGTTAAAGAAACTGATTCTTATACAGCATCTAAGTCGAAGGTTGGCCCTAATCGTACTTTCAACTTTTCCACCCATGAGCAATCAATGCCTCTGGATCTGCTTTCTCAGAAGAGATCTCAGTTGCTTTCAGCAAAGGAGCGGTCTTACTCTGCGCCTTTGAGCACAGTGATGCCTGAACCTTCTTCCATTTGGTCTGACGGCTCCTTCCGAGTTCAATCTCACTCGACCCTTGATTTTAATGACCATGTGCTTAAGCCGCACCAAGGGTCAGCCTCTAAAGACTTATGTCAGCAACGTCAGTCGAGAATCAACTTGAATCAGGTTCATCAATCTTCACATGTTCTAAGTGGCTACCCAGTGCAGGCATTGAACCAGAAAGATTCGAAGAGGGAGGCAATTATAAGCAGTGGAAAACAAACCATGCATGAAGGTCATTTGAACAGAAGCTTGAGTTCTCAGCTATGTCGGCACTTCGTTCCAGATATTCAGAATGAGAAGAGGGAAGGTTCAGTACCTTCAAGGCCTGGGGTATTATTTTTTGACAGTAAGGAGGATAAATCAGACTCACAGTTAAGACCATGCTCAATAAATCCATCTCAGGAGACAGAGGAGCAGTCTACTCACCGAACTGGTGATGTGAAGCTCTTTGGTCAGATTCTTACTAACCCCCATTCCCATCAGAAGTCGAATTCTTCGTCACAGGATATTGATAGCCAGCCACCTTCCCAAAAACAGAAGAAACCTGCAACTGTGACGATATCAACCAGCAGAACAAGCAGCAGCTCCCTATTCCCCCCCAAAGCTGAGAGCATCTCCCAGTCAAGCCTTCAAGAGGTTCCTCTACAAAGTTATGGCTATTGGGACGGGAGTAGAATACAAACCGGATTCTCATCGTTGCCGGAGCAAGCCGTCATGCTAGCAGCATATCAAGGCTCCTCAGCGGGGACGCCATTTTATCCTCCAGCAAAGGACATAGGCGTTGCTAGTTCCAGTGGTGCTGCGAGCGCCAACGGAGCTGCAAAGAATTATCAGCAAGCATACGGTCAGCCTGAGATGCAGAAGAGGAGTCGGTTCGAACTGGTTTCAGGTTTTCAACAAGGGGGGAGACCAGCATTGGCAAGGCTGGGTATTAACGGGGGAAGCCGAAGTGTTTTAGTGGGTAGTAATGGGGTTTCCGACCCGGTGGCTGCACTCAAAATTGCTAAGTTATACACAGGAGAAGTTGAGTCATGGACGAGAGATGTGAACAGCAGATAGCAGCGGTAAAAAGCGAGGAAGTAGAGGAGAAGGGTGGGGTGGTTGATTTTCCTCCATGCCTTTGTTGTACAATAGTTAGTTCTGTAACCTGAATGAAACTTTAGACAGGAGGGGAGTTGTGGTGGTTGCTTTTTCTGTCCATATTATTTGATAGCTTTAAGCAGTGTTTTTATTTTTATTTTTTTCATCCCCGGGCAACGGGGTTTTCGTTAGTTTAGATTATGCGTCGGTTGTTTTTTATCGGCATACGGAGTGAAGCATTCTCTCCCCATGTATTCTGCAGGTTTGCTGCTATTTTTTGACTTTAAAAAAAAATTCGGCAGCAGACCTTGATTTGTTGAACTGACTAGCCAGGGTGGTATGCCTTCTGACCTGCTCCTTAACTACTGTATTTTGGCACTTTGATTTTTCATGGTGATAAAACCTTAAGGCTATGGTTTTATCTTGCTGGGGATGTGT